ATCTGCTAAGTTTAATACTAAATGTTAACACCAATTTTCCTGATTTAAACACACTCCTGAACCTTGTGCACAGTCTTCCCAGAAGAGTTAAAGCTGTTATAGCTGCAAAAGGTGGACCAACGTCATTTTGAACCCTATGGATTAGGAATAGGATGTCACTTACAGTAAGTTCATATGCAAATAAAGGCAGGTGAGCGAATACTTTTGGCAATATAGTGTATTTAAATCAGGAAAATTGGTGTTAACATTTAGTATTAAACTTAGCAGATATTGATGGAAGAAATCAAAGGACATACTTTTTCATAGATGAAGTATTTCCAACAATTGGTTACCCAAGAGGAATTATAGTCCACATCAACCTAACTATCCTTCAAGAAACAAAGGCTGTAAAATATAGGACAATTTAGGATTTTTTTTCTTTTTACTACCATAATAGTAGCCTCCCATAAATGAAGATGAGATACATCCTTCTGGAATGAATTATTTTTTATAGTGGCATATCAAAAATAAATATATTAAAAATCCAAGACTGAATATGAATAGTTTGATTTGTAGCAGATAGAAGTTGGATATTGTCCCATGATTAGATATTGTATTATATAAAATAGTTTATATGTGACAACACACAGGAAGAGTTTGAAATATGTGGCTGTCTGGCATTCTTATTACTAACTCCTTATACTAAACTAAATGTACTTGTATCCTTAATTAGAACAACAATGCAAAATTGCTACTGACGTCATTGCTCATGGATGTTTGTGCCTACAGATGAACATGTTGCTGTCCTCGTGTGTCCCACAAGTTGCAAACACACTAGAACAGGGCTGTCAAACTCCCGGCTTGCAGGCCAGATGCATCACGCGCTGGCCGCACCCACGCCCGGTTTAGCAAAGGGGGAAAAATCCCAATACATCACATGACGACACTGTGACACTCCTGCACAAAAAGCAGCAATGCCTATAGGTTGCCTGACTTTGTACAGGAATTGAGAGACAACCTGCTCATCACTAGGGGGAGCTATGCAACCGTAAATTGTTAAGGAGTAGGCTGGAATCAACCACCTCAGGCTGAACTAAAAAAATATTTGCAAAGTAAATCCTGAAGGAATCATGAGGCCATCAAGGGCAGCTGGCCGAGTCACCAGATCTGATCACAAAAGCTAAAAGCAGAGGAAAAGGTCCTCTCAGACAGGTGCTTCAATGTGCATTGCAGCAACCCATAGTTCAAGGACTTATAACACCTGTAGCTACAGTAAAGCACACAGAGAAACAAAACAATAGTATGAATTAAGTTATTCTTAACATCAGTAGCTAGGTAGGTTACGTTTGGCTCCAGTAAAAAGACTAGATTATTTTTATAGGTTCACAGCCCTTCCACATGTTCCTATTAAGATAAGCAATGTTGTGCCATACGTGGCACGACAAAACCGCACTCGTCAAAATAGCAGTGATAAAATCGCGTCACTAAAGCCACGACGTCATCACCGCCACGACAACAGCGCGGCGACAGAAGGGCGCTTTAAAACAGCGCGGCAGCAGAAAGCCAATTTAAATTAAGGTAAGGGTTAGGATTAGG